ACTGTGGGAAATTTGTCATGAGAATCTGTCTGCATACAAAAACATATGTGGGATTTGTAGGATTTTTTTTAAAGACATGGTCTCCCTGTAGCCTCAGCTGGCCTGGAGTTCACCAGGTAGACCAGGCTGGCTTTGAACTCACAGAACTCTGATTGCCTCTGCCTCCCAAGTGCTGGGATTAAAGAACTGCACCACTGCACCCAGCTCTTTTTGGTTTTTGAGACAGGGCCTCCCTACAGCCCCAACTGTCCTGGAACTCACTAAGTAGACCAGGATGGCCTTGAACTCACAGAGATCTGCCTGCCTCCCTAGTGCTGGGATGAGGACGCTATGCCCAACTAGATTCATTCTTTTTTAAATAGGTTTAAAAAAATTTTTTCTCTTACGTATATGAGTGTTTTGCCTGCATATATGTAAGTGCACCCATGTTATGCAAAGTCCACAGAGGACAGAAGAGGGTTTTGGATCCCCTGAAACTGGACTTACAGATGGTTGTTAGCCACCATGTAAATGTGAGAAACTGAACCTGGATCCTCTGGAAGAGCAACCAGAGGTCTTAACCACTGAGTCATCTCTCTAGTTCCTTAAACAGGTTCTTAAGACAGGGTATAAAACCCAAGCTAGCTTCAAACTGCTGATCCTTCCACCTCCACACCCAGGTTTACAGGGTTGTGCCACCACACCTAGGTAAGACTCACTTTTAATTTTCCAACCTGTACAGTCATCATAAAAAGTGGAAAGCATGCCAGGCATAGTGGCACACACCTACTTTGTACTCAAGAGGTAGAGACGGGTGATCAGGTATTTAAAGCTAACACTGTCTATCAAGTTAGTTTGAGACCAGCCTGGGCTATGTAAGTCCCTGAAACCTTGTCATAAAACAAAACAAATGAATAAAAACAACAACAAAATTACACACACGCACACACACACACACACACACACACACACACACACTCCAACAAGAAAAGAAACTAACAGTACTTCTGTATCTATGACTTAAGAAACTAACAGTATTTCTGTATCTATGACTTACGTTTCAGCTTGTGGGTACTTCGGTCAAAACACCAAAAAGAGAATACAAAGAAGCTTCAAAAATGTTTCCATTTAGGCCTAGTGAAGAACACCTGTAATCCTAGCACTTGGGAGGCTAAGGCAGGCAGATTACAAGTTAGAGCCTGAGCAGTAAGCCTGTCATAAAACCAAGATTAGCAATATAGCTCAGTGATAAGAGCACTTACCTAGCGTACGACAGGCCCTGGGTTCAATCCCTAGTTCCAAACTGTTTCTAGCAGTCACTGAGAGTGCTTTAGGATATCACCCTAATTTAGCATTTCATTTTACAACTCAGCAACCTAAGGCTCAGACAAGTTAACAGTAAGACTGCAATCTTAGATCCCTACCCAGTACTCTTTCTGTTACACACATTCCAATCCACAGATTTAGGAATTTTACTTAGTCTCTCTCAAGCATTAAGATTTTTAAAAAGCTTTTTACATTAAAACACATGAAAAGGTCATCATGTCATTAAAGTTCTGGTCCTTCTACTCGGAGCAGCTTATCCATTTCAAATTTAGTATAAGAATAAACAGAATACCTTTTTGGTCCATCTCTTAACTCCATTATATCCTTTGGTTACCAGCTGTCTATGAAAAAAGCTGTTGAAGAAGTGAACCTAGAACAGATACCAAATACAAGCAACCAGATTATATTACGCTGTAATATAATATTGAACTTCAAAAGAAAATGGAAACTTAAGAATACTTAGAGCATAACAAGACATAAGAGGAAGGAAAATTTTCTTATTAAAAATCAAGGCCTGATACGTGTGTATACATAAATAGAGCACATGAAATTGTGTGGGAGTAATAAAGGGGGTGTGGATAAGGAAGGGGATCTAAATACCATCAAAGCATATTGTATGAGTCACAAAAATTCAATTAAAAAAATTCATATAAATTTTAAAAATAAATAAACAAAATAAAATATTATTTTATTTTTAAACAGGAAAAATATCAAGGCTGGGGATGTAAGTTGAAGGGTGCTTGCCCAACACAAAGCTCCAGAAGCAAAGCGCTGGATTCAATCCTTAGAACCACAAAAACTGGGTGCTGTGGCACACACCGGTATTCCTAACAGGAAGTAGAGGCAGGAGAATCAGAAGTTCAGTGTCATCCTTAGCTACAACTAGTTTGAGGTCAGTCCAAGCTACATGAGACCCTGTCTCAAAAATAAGCAAATAAAAATTTAAAATAAAAATTAAATTAAAATAGTCAAGAGGGAGAAGATACATTACATGGTTTATAGAAGATTCTATCCTAAATTTTCATTAGTATGCCCTTACAGCTATGGTCTAATCAAAACTTGCGTGGAGCAATAAACAGATTATATCGATCTGATGGGGGGGGTCTCAAAGAGGAAGAGGGACACAGAGAAGGAAAGGGGAGACAGGGGAGAGAGAGAGGGTATCTGACAAATCTCTCCGTATCAGATTATAAAGTTGAGATGGGTTAAAAAAAAGGATGATGTAATGAGTACCTTAAACTCCAGGGGTACAGATTATAAACTAACCTTATCTGAAGAAAGTGAATCTGAGGACGCCTATATAATAACTGTGAAAGGTCTCAGTACAATCATTTCTATCTGGAAGAATTACCCTGGCCAAATGGAGCATCAGGTTTTTTATATAAGTGGTATTAGCTCATCTGAGGCAAGACATTATTGTTGTTGCTGTTTATTACAGTGCTGGAGTCTGAACCCAAGGCCTCATGCATGCTAGGTAAGTGCACTGAGCTATATATATCCCTAACCCCATATAGTTGTCTTAAAATGAGGAATTAGATGTGGTTCTCAGGATGTAGTCACCACACCAGAATAATCGTACCACCTGGAAATGTAAAAGTCAGAATTCTCAAGTCCCACTCCAGAACTAGTAAAGCAGAAACTCAGGGTAGGTCACAGCAACCAGAGTCAGCTTTTATACACCTTTCAGATAATTCTAATACAAATTCTTTTTAGAACCATGTAAGCTCTGTAAGAGTTCTTTAACAACCATAGTAGTTCTTGCCTATAATCCCAGCACCAGAGAGGATAGCAAGGGCAGGGGCAGGGGCAGAGGCAGAGGCAGAGGCAGAGGCAGGAAGATGGCTGTTAACTCCAAGGCCAGCTGGTCTACACAGTGAGTTCCAGGCCAGTCAGGGCTACATAGTAAGATCCTGCCCCAAAAAGCCAAAAAAACAAAACAAAGAACCATTCTGCTTAACAGAGATTTTTACAGTGTAGTAATTGTTTGTGCAGCAGTGACTCTGAAACTTAGGTCCATCAACATCATCTTCTGGGCTTAATAAAATCATCTGCTGGCGGCTACCCCTGAAGTATCTGATTTACCTGATCTGTGATCTGAGAACGCACATTTCCAGGAGGAACTCACTCCAACACTGCTTGTGTTAAGCGTCTTTTTCACTCCTTGAATACTCAGAATTAAATGTAGAGATTAATGAAGGTAAATTAGTCCTTAAAATTTAAAATTTAACTTTCTATTAATTAAGAGCATTTGGCAAAACAGAATCTGGCAGATTATAGTTACAATTTTTTTTTCTTGTGAAGATACATTTTCACTAAGTAGCACTGGTTAACCTTGAACTTGTGTCCAACCTCCAGCCTCAGCATTCTGAGTGCTGGGATCACAGATGTGTACCACTGGCTCATAATTACTATGTGATTTTTAGTGGACTATTAAACACTTTTTAAAAATTCATAAATGCTACTGGAATCAATTACATCTGTTTACATATAAAATTTTTATAAAATACTTGGAAAGTCTCCTGCCTATCAGGTTTTTGATGTTTGGTTGCTGCTGTTGTTTTGAGACAGGTCTCCCATTATAGCTCAGGTTGGCCTATAACTCTGAATCCTCCTGAGTCAGCCTCCCCAATGCTGTGATCATGAGATACCTGGCCAAAGAAGTATTTGAGTACTCAGAAAGAAATATATATGCATTAAGTTTAAAAGGTAAAATAGGTAAATAACTATTTCTCAAGTTCTCTTAATAGACTCTTAAGGGAACGTGAGCTAATGGGATTGAGTTTGTGTTAAAGTTTATTATTTTTTAAGTATGTTTTTAGAACTATGGTCTCATTGTGTAGACCTGCCTGACCTGGAACTCACTATATAGAACAGGCTGGCCATGAACTCACAGATATCCACTTGCCTCTGCCTCCTAAGTGTTGGGATTAAAGATATGTATAATAATACCCAGCCTTCCTTTAAAACTACATTTGTATGTAGCTTATTTTGGAGACAGGGTGCATTCATGTGCCACAGCACTGACTGCAGAAGTCAGAAGACACCTGCAGGAGCCAGTCCTCTCCCCTTCCACCATCTAGGTCTTATGGCAGGCACCTTTACCCACTGAGTTCCCTCCTCGGCCACTTGTTTCTTTCCTTTTCTTTCATCTGGTCTTTTAAGACAAGAGTCCACCATGTAGCCCAGGCTAGCCTCAAAATTATAAAAACTAGACTGTCCTAGAACTTGCAATCACTGTGCCTCAGCTTACTGATGATTACAGATGTATGCTACCATGTCCAACTTGAATGTCAAAGGTTAGCTACTCAGAAAAACTGAAAAAGTGGAGTACTATTATTCCATGTTTTTAAATAAAGAAAGTTTCATTAAATCTGAAATAATCCCTGTTGAACATCTCTAAAAAAATAGTAAGACCCTTTGAGGCACACCCACCCAAATAAGAAAGGAAACGCTGGCATTGTGATTTTCTCAAGTAAAAATAATTTTTTTCACTTTTGAGACAGGGTCTCACTTCAACTTGCTATGTAGCCAACTTGCTCCTGACCCTCCACTTCCCAGGTTGCTGGGATGTTGTGTGTGCTACCACACCCAGCTTAAGCAGAAATAATATGACAGAAATTATGGTCAACTATCATACATGATCAAGACATAATCTAACCCATTTTTAAAAATATGAATACCAAATAATTACATAAAATTTAAATCCCTACTATTAGTAACAGAAAGACAATTAGTGGAGGGAAGTTTCCACTTACTTTATCTGGAACTGCATCCATTATCAGCTCACCATACATATTAATGACCTGTAAAAAGTAAAATGAGCTAACTCATCCTGTACAATTCAGAACACCCCATAGAATGAGTAACACAGCTATAGCAGTGTGGGTAACAAAATCATTTGGTCCTGGGATTAGTACTAAGAGTTACTTCAGGAAGCTAGAGAGATGGCTTAGCAGCTAAGAGCACTGGCTACTCTTACAGAGGACTCAGGTTCAGTTTCCAACACCCCCATGACAGCTAACAACTGTCTGTAAGTAGAGTTCCAGGGATCCAGTGCCCTCTCTAACCCCCATGGACATACACCTGGTACATGTACACACATGCAGGCAAACACTCACACATATATAATAAAGTATTTTTTTTTAAGTCACTTCAGTAAAGACTTAGAGTCCTTGAGCTGGAGAGACGGCTCAGCAGTTAAGAGCACTGGCTGCTCTTGCAGAGGACCTGGATACAAGTCCCAAAACCCAAACGGCAGGTAACAACTGTCCACAACTCCAGTTCCAGGGAATCCAACTCTCTTTTCTGATCTCCAAGGGCATTGCATGACACAGGTGCACTTAAATACATGCAGACAATACACTCATACACATAAAAATATTATTTTTTTAAAAAGAATACAGTCCCTGTTTCTAAAAGATAAAATGTAAAGCCAACCCAGAGCTCATATTTATATTTTATTGACCAACATTCTGTGTTTCTACCTTAAGAACCCAGAATGCACTAACCTGGTCATTCAGCCAATTCTGACCATCCAGGGTTGCCAGATCATCCATATCTAGCATGTGCTTATTGTAGAAGATGCGGAAGTTGCACTTTTGATGTCTGGCCCGATAGTTTGTTATTTCCCTATTGATAAACGGTTTTCTGAAACAGAAAAGATTTTAAAAGAAGGTAAAATAAACATATGTTTCACTCAAAGTATTATCTCATTTCTCCTAAATGAAGAAAAAAACTCATAATGGCAATAACTTTACTTTTAAGGGTTTAACTTTAGCATCACTGACATACCTATTAGAAAAGTCTTCATTAAAGACATCTTTTAATCTTCCAAGGACATCTTTTTCACTGAGTGGGACCAAACTTCCATACTTTTTCATAACCTCATCTAGGAATCCTTACGGAAAGGAAAAAGAAAAACATGGAACAGACACTTTCAGCAAAGCCATTCTCATAATACTTAATACATAACTTAAATCTATTATAGCACAGAACCATAGAGCTTTCCAAAAGTCACATCCTTTATTTAAAAGGGGGATGGACAAGGGTGTTGGAGGCCTTCACCATTATAATCCAGACAGAAATGCTCTGAGCCATCATTTCACATTGGATTTTTTTTGCTGCTGTTTTACACTTAGCCAAAAGATGGACAAGCGATTTGGGACAGGGTCCACATGTAACCCAGGCTGGCCTCAAATCTTCAGATGTCTCTGACATACTGGGGTTACAGGTGTGTGCAACCACACCCAACTCACACTGGATTTTATTTATTTATTTATTTTGGTCTTTTTGAGACAGGGTCTCCCTGTAGCCCCAGCTGTCCTGGAACTCACTATGCAGACCAGGCTGGCCTCGAACTCACAGAGATCTGCCTGCCTCTGCCTCCCCAAGTGCTGGGATTAAAGGTGTGCGCCACCACATGCCCAGCTTCACACTGGATTTTTTAAACTATTGATCCACTCAGAGGGACTTACTAAAACTAAAAGTGACACTTTTCCACAGCTTGACCTTAAAGAAAAAACCTATCTCAAGAAAGACACCTAAAAATCCAGGCTTGGTGGTGTGTATCAGTAGTTCCAACTACTAGGGATGATGCGGTAGAGAATCATTTGATCCCAGGAATCAGGGCTAGACTGGGTAACATAACAAGATGCTATCTTGAGTGCTGTTGATTGCAGAAGACCCGGGTTCAGTTCCTAGCACCAATATGGGCTCCCACAACTATCCCAAACTCCAGTTCCAGGGGATCTGACATACCCTCTCCTGGCTTCCACAGGCATGACAGGGGTGCTTACATGCATGCAGGCAAAACACCTTAGGCACATAAAATTAATTTTTTTAATTAAAAAGAATTAAATTGGACCGGGCGTGGTGGCACATGCCTTTAATCCCAGCACTTGGAAGGCAGAGGCAAGTGGATCTTTGTGAGTTCCAGGCCAGCTTGGTCTACATAGTGAGTTCCAGGACAGCTGGGGCTACAGAGAGACCTTGTCTCAAAAAGACAAGAAAAAAAAAATTAAATTGGTAAGATTACACTATATTATTTGGTAAAGGGACAATATCATACAATTTGATACAACACTGAGTCAGTCGTGGTGACAAACACCTGTAACCACAGCACTCAGGAACCAAAGACAGGTGGATCATTACAAGTTAGAGGCCAGCCTGAAGATAGCAAACACCAGGCTAACCAAAGCTACATGGTGAAAGGACCTTGTCTCAAACAAAACAAAACAAATCAAAACACAACACAACACACAAATACTCATGACAAGGAATAACCCTATGAAATAAGTTTAACAGGATAACAAGACCTCTTCCTCTATGTTGCCTAAACTGGCCTTAGGATCCTCCCACCCTCTGAGACCTTAGTAGAGAGCCTGAGAGTGCCTGGATCTGGCCTCTGCCTGGTGTAGGGACCGAGACCTTAGCATACTGCCTGAGAGTACCAAAATCAGGCCTCCCCTTTGTGAACTTCCCAAATTGTGCTGTAGTGCCTGCTACTGAAGTCCAGACATTAGAAAGAAGTCAGAGTATACCTAACTGGAGTCTGACTTGGTCCTCTATGGGAGCTCCTGAGTAGCTGTACTGAAGCCATCAGTTCCCTCCAAAATAAAATCTGAGAGAACCTGAAACCTAGACCAACCAGCTTTACATACCCAATAAGGAAACAACCAAGGCACACCAATAATACAAACAGAAGCAGACTTCAACTCAACAGAAGAAGGCTTGAGTTTCATAGCAGATTTAAAAACAAAAGAAATCCACATGCCAAAAATACAATGGAAAAATAACAGGGATAACCAAAACAGCATGTTCCCATCAAACTCCACCTATCCTGTAGAAGAATTCTACAGAGAACCCCCTAGAGATAACCCTGGTCACATCACTTAAAGGAACAATGATAAACATGATCAAGGAATTCAACAAATTTAAAGAACACACAAACCAATCAAAGAACTCAAAGAAAACAGGGATAAACTTCTTACAGAATTCACAAAAGAGACACAAACACTGAAGAAAACTCAGGCCAAAATGAAAAAGTGAAAAACTCGATAAGCCAATTTGAAATGACCAGAGAAAGCCTCACCGATACAATGAATGAAATGGAAAACAGAATATCAACACTGGGGGGTAAAGTTGAAGAACTAGACTGCTCAAGCAAAAATTATGAAAAAAATTTAAAAACACAGAAATGGAACATGCAGGAAATATGGGACACCATGAAATGACCAAATCTACGTATCATAAGCATAAAGGAGAAGAATTTCAGGTTAACAGTATTGACCAAATTTAAGCAGGATTGTAGAAGGGAATTTCCCAAAACTAAGGAAAGACATCCATATACAAATACAAGAAGCACATAGAACACCAAATAGGATGAGAAAACAAACTCCCCACAGTGTATCATAGTAAAAACACTAAATGTACGAAAGAGAGAATAATGAAAGCTGCAAAAGAAAAACAACTCATATATAAAGGAAAAACCTATCAGAACTACAGCTGACTTATCAATGCAAACTATGAAAGCCAGAAGAGCCTGGACCAAAGTATTCCCAGTTCTAAATGACAATAGATGCCAACCCAGATAACTTTACCCAGCAAAAATGTCTACTGAAGTTGAAGGGGAAAGAAAAACCTTCAATGACATGAATAGGCTGAAAGAATACACGTCCACAAAAATGACCCTTCAAAGATTACTTGAAACAATACAAAGAATGAAGAAAGGAACAACTATACCGCAGGAGTAAAAGAAAGAAACTAAATGAAGATATAACTGTGGAAACACAAAATGAGACAAAGAATGCAAACAGTATTCAACATGATGGCAACGAATACACATCTTCCAATAATAACTTTCAGTATCAATGGACTGAACTCCCCAGTCAAAAGACACAGGCAGCTGGGTGTGGTGGCACATACCTGTAGTCCCTTGGGAGGCTGAGGCAGGCATATCACTGTGAGTTCGAGACCTGCCTGGTCTACATAGTGAGTTCCAGGCCAGCTGGGGCTACATGGAAACCCTGTTTCAAAAAGACCAAAAAAAGGGCTGGAGAGATGGCTCAGTGGTTAAGAACACTGGTTGCTCTTTCAGAAAACCCAGGTTCGAATCCCACTGTCCTTGCTCCTGGCCAAAGCCAACCCCTCCACTCTTGCATCACTGGTTTTTCCCATCTACTGGATCATTTCCACCAGCACACCAACTGCTCTACTTTCTTCTGCTTTAACAAAGGGGGGGGGAGGAAGAAGAGGAGGAGGAGGAGGAGGAGGACGACGACGACGGCGACGACAACGACGACAAGGACACAGGCAAGTTGAATGGATTAAGAAATAAAATCCATCCTTTTATTGTCTGCAAGAAACCCATCTCACCTTCAAGGACAGGCACCACCTTAACGTGAAAGGATGGAAAATAATTATTTCAAGAAAATGGCACTAAGAAACCAGCAGAGGTTGCAATACTAATATTTGGCAAAATAAGACATCAAACTAAAACTAATGAGAAGAGATAAAAAGATCACTTCAGCTGGGAGTGGTGGCACACGCCTTTAATCCCACCACTTGGGAGGCAGAGACAGGTGGATCTCTGTAAGTTCAGTTCAAGGCCAGCCTGGTCTACATTGTGAGTCCCAGGCCAGCTGGGGCTATAGGGAAACCCTGTCTCAAAAAGACCAAAAAAAAAAAAATAAATAAAGAGGGTCACTTCATTCTGATCAAAGAAAAATTAACCAAGAAGATATTACAATCATAACATATATGCACCAAACTCTGGTGCACTCAAATTCCTAAAAACAACACAAGACTTTAAGACACAGATTACCCTCAACTCAATAATAGGGGACTTCAATACCCTATTATCTCCAACAGAACAGGTCAACCAGAAAAAGAATTAAACAGAGACACATCTGAATTAAATGATACTACACGTCAAATGGACCTAACAGGCATCTTCCAAATATTTCACAAGCACCAAAGAATACACTTTCTATTCAGCACCCCATGGAACTTTCTCAAAAATTGACCACATACAAAAAAACTTGAAATAATTCCATGCATTATATCAAACCACAATGAAATTAAGCTTAAAATCAACTCTGGAAGAAGCCCTAATAACTACACAAACTCCTGGAGATTAAACAACACACTCCTAAATGATAAGTGGGTCAAACAAGAAATCAATAAATAAAAGTATTCCTGGAATTAAACAAAAAGGACAATAAAACACAATGAAACCTCGGGGACACTTTAAAAGCAGTCCTAAGATGGAAGTTTATAGCTCTAAGTGCTTACATTAAAAAATCAGAAACAGCACAAATAAATGACTTAATACTGTAATTTAGGACTCTGAAAAGTCAAGAAGAAATGAGAGGAGTGGCTTAATGGTTAAGGACATAGTCTGTCTTTCCAAAGGACCCAGGTTCCATTCATAACATCTGAACTTCTGCTGGAGAGATGGTTCAGCAGTTAAGAACACTGGTTGTTTTTGCAGAAGACCTGGGTTCGAATCCCAGTACCCACACGGCAGCTAACAACTGTCCGTAACTCCAGTTCCAGGGGATCCGAGGGCCTCTTTTGTCCTCAAGTGTATTGCACAACACAGGTACACTTACCTACATGCAGGCATAACACTCATACACATAAAATAAAAATAAAATATATATAAAAAGACTCTGGAGAGGCAAGAACAAAGGAAACCTAAACCCAGCAGAAAAGAAGAAATAATAACAGAGACGAAATTAATGAAATAAATAAAAACAAAGAAAATAATATAAAGAATCAATGAATCGAAGAGCTGGTTCTTTGAAAAGACAGACAAGATAGACTCTTAGCCCAGTTAACCAAAAGAGAGAGCAAATCCAAACCAACAAAATCAGAGATAAAAAGGAAAACATCACA